ATGTGAAAAAAAAAAGAATGTACGATGTAAAACTGATATATCCAGTTTGGAAATTACTAGAGCTTACACTAATCCTCCAACAATTTCTGTCAAAAAGAAAAAACATTTACTAAAAATGTGTAGAGAAAATGTAATTCCTGTTGTACACTGGCCTTTTTATGAGAATCTCCAAGAATAGAATGTTAATTCTGAAGCAGCGTCTGATGATGAAGAAATATAATAAGCACCAAGAAATATTATTTATTTTTTATACTATAGTTATGTAGATGTTTTGTTACTTTTTCATTAGATAATACAAATTTTCAAAACTATTAGAATTATTACCCTTGAAGTTATTCATGTATTTCAGATCAATAGTGTAACATGTCCGAACAAATTCCTTTTTTACCAAAAGTTTTGATATTTTATGAATTTTGTTGATTAAGGAAGTTAATAGACACCTTCAAACTATGAACGAGCCAAAAGTTTTAATCATAAATAGATAAATCTAAGAAGTACAATCAAATAACTGTGACTAAAATTTTCAATTGCGATTTTCTCAAAACTATGATTTTTGAGTTGTTACAGTATAGAACTGGGGTATCAATATAAGTGGTGCTGCATCAACTCATTAAAAATTAATAAAAATAAAACGAAATTCATGATTATAGGAAACGACAAGCAATACCATGACTTCAATAAATATAATTATGATATTAAAATAGCAAATGATAAAATTGATTTAGTAAAAAAATTAAATACTTAGGTGTAATAGTAGACAATAGAATGTTTTTTAAGGAACATGCTTCATACATTATTAAAACAATAGCATTTAAAATTAACTACTTAAGTAGGCAATCTAAGCATATAAATCAATGGATGCTTTTACTTTTATATAACAGCTTGATTTTACCTCATTTCACTTATTGTGGAACCATCTTGTATTTACTAAACCAAAATGAAATTGGAAGACTTCAGAATAGAGGAATGAGAGTAATATTATCTTAGAAGAACACATATAACATTAATGCGAGGGGCAAATCACTCTTTGTAAAAATGTACATGTATTGCCGAATTCATATGATTTCCGCAATCATGTGGCGATTTCTGGATGACTTCGGCGATTTCTAGATGACTGCGGCGATTTCTGGACGACTGCGGTGATTTCCACATGACTTCCGACAGATTTCCCGTGACTGCGGTGATTTATGTATTGACTGCAACGATTTCTCTATTGATTGCGGCAATTTCCCTATTGATTGCGGCGATTTACTCGTACGTATGGATTGTCAGTATTATTGCAAAATTGCACGCATTCCGAAGGATTTCTACGATATTGTATGGCTTACCAGTTGGTTTCCAGTAAAAAAAGCATTAGCTAGGTGTTTCATCAGAAAAACTAAATTTTGTATAGCGTGTGTATAGGTGCGAAATACAATGCATTGATTTAAAACTAAGTGTGTACGACAAATTTATCAATAAATCAACTTTTTGTACGTTTTTTATTCATTCAAAAGATCAGTTTTAATTGATGTGATACCCGAAATATAAACTTCTATGTAGGTACCTACATGCCTCCATTATTAGATATCTTTGATATGCCTAAACGAACAAATAGGTACAGGTAAATAAAACAAGTTAAGTAATTAAGTAATTGGAGGTTTTTTATATAAAAATTTCATAAAAGTGTTTTTTAGACGTTTACAAATTTTATTGATGTTTGTTTCTAGTTTAAATGGACCAGATCCAATTGAATTGATGGGTCCGTAAAATATTAATTTATTTTTAACAATTTGAATGTCGTCTTTTTTTGGCCATAAATATTCTTCAAGTTCAGATTTTAAAATTTTTATTTTACTAGTGGTTTCATCAATTATTTGAAAAATCCGACCTATGTACCACGACTCGTAAAGAATTGCGTAATATTGTTCGTTCCTAATTAAAATGCTATTGATATTTTTCTGGAGCAAAGTGTTTTCACCGGTAGTTTTTTCACTTTCTGTTACATCTTTGTCATTGTAGTTATTTGGTATTTTAGCTGTTTTTTCTGGACTTGTTTTTTTTTGTTATTTAGTACTGCTGAGGATGTTCCTTTTACACGAGATAATCTATCAGTTGACAAGCGCCCGTCTTCAGTGGAAAATAACCAACAAAGAACTGATTTTTTTACCTTCATTTTTTTGTTGTTCACAATTATGTTTAAAAATGAGATATCAGAATCACTTTTTGTGTAGTAATTTCGAAAATCCTTTATATTAAGATCTTCCAATCCATAAAAAATGCTCTTTTCATTATCTACATCATATATGGAAACTTAAGTTTAAAATTTAATGTTTTTTACTTTATCCGTTTTTGATTTTTCTTTAAAATTCGAAATTTACACATTTTCTTAAATATCTCGAATACGGTCCATTTTAGAGAAATTATGTATAGGGCAAAAATTATAGAGAATTATATTACAAACAACTTTTATTTGAACAATTTTTATAAAAAATTATTTTTTTTTACATTTTGTCAAATTTCTCGAATACGGACCAAATTTTGTATAGAACAAATTATAGATAATAATATTGTAAGTAACTTTTATTTGAAAAAATTTCTTCTCCAAACGTAAATAACAGATATATTCCATAAAATATAAAAATGATGACTATAAAGTACCCTTCAAATGTTCCGACTCTGCCCAAAATCTAATCAGCTAATTGGACGCCGTAATAAAGCTTAAGTTTAAAATTTGGTGTTTTTCTTTGTATCCGTTCATGAGTTATCGAGGATACAGACACACACACAGACATCATCGCGAAAATAGTCAAAACAGATTCAGGATACCCCAAAACATAAAAAACCGTCGAAAATTCGAGGTCGAAAAAAATCATGATTCCTATACTTTCCTTATCTGTAAACAGATAGGAAAGTAAAAATACATTTAAAACCCTAATTAAAACGTGTATCACCCCAACCCCCATAAAATACCAACAATTTTGTTATACATTAAAAAAAAACTAGATGAAAAGGGACAATTTTTGACCACCTTGTAAAATTTTGTATACAAGTAGATTTAGTGTCTAAATTTATCCTAAAAAAACCTTCAAATTCCAAAATGTAAATTTAACTTAATAGTTCTTGCCTCAAAATGTAAACTGCAATTTCTTTACACAAAATGGTTTAGATCAAAGCACCCTACATCAACAATGGCTAATTGGTTAATGTCACCTTACTGCGCGCGATTTTAACGATTGCTAGTGATTGCTCAGTGACTGCTAGAGAATTCGGGGGACTGCAAGGGAATTCGGAACGACTGCGGCGATTTCTTAGAGATTGTCACTGATTTTGATGAGACTGCGGCGATTTTCAATGGGATTGCGGACATTTTGTACACGTATTGCGGGAGTGATTTGCCCCTCGCATTAATGTTAAATTCATTGAAATGGTTATCTGTTAAAAATCACTTTCTTTTTCTAACATTAATATTTATTTTTAAAATAAAAACTGGTGATGTTCCTGTATATTTACCTGACAAATTAAGATTTTTGAATTTCATGAATACAATACAAGAAGTCACACTAACTTTCATATACGTCAGGCTAGTAGTGTCAATTCAAGTAACACAGTTTTCATTAAAGGAGTTCAAGCCTTTAATGAACTGCCGGAGGAAATTTAGAATGCTACTTCCCTTAATATATTTAATAGGAAATTAAAAGGGTACATGTTAGAACAACAAAAGTAGTGTAGGAACCTGCTAATACACTTTTTTTTATTCATTGTTTTGTTGTTATTTGTATATTTTAATGTATATGGTTTAAAAATTTTATTGTAATTTTTAATTTTTTATAACCTAGATTAAGACTACTGCATTGTTATATTTGTATTAGCTTGCTGCTAAATAAACGATACATATATTCTTTTGTTTCCTGATTTTGAATAAATTTATAATTAAAATATTATATTTTCTGTTCATTTATTAAGTAAGCCAGTCTTGTCTTCTTCAGAAGGTACTTTATTCAAATTTAAACTGATATAGAGCAGGGACAGAAGTTGGAAATGATTTTGCTAGGTAGAAAGGTGGTAAACATCGAAAATTTTGTGGTAATGTTTGATCGCCATTGTCTTATCATTGAATAAAAATAATACCAAACATTTAAAATTATTACCGGTAGAATCAGACAAATGTATATTTATTTAAATGGGATCAACCCCATTACAAATCAAAACACATATAATTTATAAAAATAATTGTAAATTAAAAAATACAAGAAAAAAGTTAAAATTATATTTAGGTAAATAAAAGTTAAATAAGTTTTAGATGAACAAATGCATTTTAAGTAGTGTAAATCAGTCTGTAATATTTAATTTTTACTCCAGAGTTCATACAAATTGCCTTAAATTTATTAAAAGAAATGCCTGTAACCTCAAGATACAATTAATTTATTACCCCCAAGATTCAAATGTTCTTTCAACAGGTAAATGCATGCCATAGTTTGTATTGTGAAATGGAACATATTTAATTGGCTAAGGACTCTATTAGGAATATTGAAAGAACTCATTTCTAAGAGTTACAGGCATATGACTAGACCATTTAATAATCTATAGATAAAATTTAAAGTCTCCTGTTCTTATGGGCTAGAAATAATTATTAAAGTAATATCCCAAATCATATTTATACAAAATTTTAACAGCTACTCACAATTTATTAAACTATTATTGAGACATTATTATTAGCATTTATAAAATAGTTTTCTGCGCCAATGTTTCACATTCACTTCAGTTAGCTCCACGACAATACTGTCAAATCCTTTGTATCAAGTGTTACAACTGCAAAAATCCTTTCCAACTTCTGTCCCTGTTCTATTAAGAAATTTAGTTCCAGCTGCACAAATATGGCAAGTAAACAAATGACGAGATGTCTTAGTTGGAGTCCTAGCCAAGCAAAGCACTCAAACTACAAGTTAAGTAACTTGTAGTTGACAGTCAAACGTGTTAAGAAATTAAAATAAAAATATATAACCACAATATAATCCTACCAATCCATCTTCCAAGTCTACCCACAATTTTTTCCCAATCGTCACTGTATCTCATTACAATCTTTCTACATTCCTCATTATACTTTGCAATACCCATTTTCATAACATCATCTGGGCCCTTAATACCCATACTTTTATCAATTTCATATTCTACTGGCAATCCATGACAATCCCATCCGAATCTCCTTTCTACATGATAACCTAATTGATGAGCATAACGAGTGACTACATCTTTAATGGTACCAGCAAGAATATGTCCGTAATGAGGAAGTCCAGTCGCAAAAGGGGGACCATCATAAAAAGTGTACCTAAAATGTAGTTTTGAATTGTTGAGAATTACTAACAAACAAAAGGCAATTACTTTAAAATTTTAATGAACACATTGTAAGTGAATAGCACTGAAAAATTTATCTCATGCCAGTTTTAAGGAATATTTAAAATAAGTAGATAGTTGTATAATAATAAATCGGAATTTTATGGTATCATTTTTTTGTTTACTAGGTAAATCAACAAATTTCTTACTTGGGCTTTCCTTTGGACTGTTTTAAACACGTTTTAAATGCATCTATTTGTTTCCAATATGTTATAATTTTTTCTTCCTCCTCAGGAAATTTGATAGTCTCTGGCACTCGAGGAATTTCCTGTACCTTGTTTTCAGTCATTTTAAGTAGTAATTTTGCTTAATAATTTATTAAAATTGCATCATTTAAATCCATCTAAAAAAGTAACAGCAGTGGCAACGGTGATGACAACCTAACCTAAAACCTAACCTAACCACAAATAAAAAATCTAACTTAAAAAATAAAAAAGAAGATTGAAAAAGAATCCGATTTTGACAGGGTGTTGACAGGAACGACCTCAGACGAAATCGATCTTCTTTATGAATATAATAATCGATTCTTTTTTTCGATATAAATCAGAGGTTCCCCAACACATACTTTGATTTTCTTTTACTATACGGAGAATGGTCGCACTGCGCAGCTTTCTGAGTGCCTTTTAAAAGGAGATAGAAAACTCCGCCATTTTGAACCCTTATTACGTGTTGCCTACATCTTGGCGCAATATTTTTAATAAGTGCGTTTTAATCAATGACATATATAGATTAATAGACTGCTCATCCATATATAAACAAGACGACGAAAAGCGGGTCATATTGCTTGGCTTGCCAAGTGCTCACCAGGCAGAATCGGTCTGGCCCAAATGAGTTTAAAACTCATATTTCATCAAAGTAGGAATTGAATTAAAAAAAAAATATCTGTATGTTTATTTCAAGACAGGACTTGCGTTAGATATTTTAAAAAATGATTTTGAGTCATAACGTCTAGTTTCCCAATTTTCAAAACATTTTAAGAGATCTAACCAATTTTGAAGATAGATATAAACAATTTTACACTCATGTGTATATAATTAACTTTAGATTACGACCACTGTATAGTGGCACTATTTGGACACTTGATTATTCTTTTAAAATTTATTTCGCATTATAAAAGCGATATTATGCAAAAATTGAATGAACTTTTTAAAGATTTGACTAAAAGTTAGTAGCTTTTTCACATTCTAAAATTTGTTCCCTTTAGACAATTAAGGATTATTTTGGCGGTGAATGTGAATGATTTGATGAATAATAATAAGATTCCACCAGTGGAAATCTGATCAACATCATAGCAAAATGAACTAGGTACAAAGTGCAATCTTAGTTGACGTCAAGATCCGTTTAGCATCGGTAAGGGGGAAAGAAAGATTCTGACTTACAATCACAAAAAGAACGTACAACTAAGCTTAGTCGATGTAAGTTAGCTCAGATTAGTGGTAAAAAGAAAGCGACTATTAATAAAAAGAAAAGTAATCCAGCTAAAACAAGAATTATAGCTACTGTCTTTAAATAATGATATGTTGCCAGTACTAGTAGAATGTTAAGTGTTGAGTTATCTTCTTCAGTCAATGGATGTATGTATGCATAATTTAAAATGTTTAGTTAATTATTATTATTATGTTTAATGTGTTTTTGCAGTTAATGAACATATATCTACTACTGAAGCAGATAATGAAGATTTGTGTGCTGCTGAAGAGCTTTGCTTAATTTACAAAACTTCGTTTAAAAGCAGAAAATTGGGATCGATTGTTCAACACAAGTGAAGAGTGGTGATTTAGTTGATCCGTTTTCAAACAGAATTGTCAGTGCTAAAGAACTATCTACTTTAATAGGATTGCAATCCTTCCAGTTATTAGCCACCATTGTGAAATTCGTTGTTTCTAAAGAATAGGAAAAAGGAGATCAGTTATGTCTGTAAAGGATCAAGTTATATTTACTTTTATAAAGTTGAAAACTGATATGCAAGATATAATGTCTTATCCATTTTATTTGGAGTGAATGAAACTTTTTATCATTAAATTTTTTAACATTTTTTAATAAAACTGGTAGAAGTTCTTAGTATGGTATAATTCGGCCTTCAAAACAAGAAATATTAAAATATGTGCCTCTATGTAAGTAAGAGTATTACTTGATTGTACCGAAATCCCAATACAGCAAGCCAAATGTCTTTGTTGTAGGCTAAAAAATTACTCTGACTACAAAAAGAGGCATACTATTAAAATATTGACTGGAGTGTCACCTACTGGTCTCATTACTTACAAAAGTGAAGCATATGGTAGTAGAACTTCAGAAATAGACATTTTTTAACAAAGTTCAATACTTGAAGTGTGTGAATCATTTCTCGATAGTAAAATGTTTAACAAAGGTTTTCTTATTGGAAACATAACAGAAGCTGAAGGTATACAAATTATACAGCCTCCTTTCCTCAATAAAAAAAATCAGTTCAGCCATCAAGAGGCTTTACTTAATGCCAAAATTGCCAGAGCTAGAATTCACATAGAAAGAACCTATCAAAAAATAAAAGTGTTTGTCTCTCTGTATTGGTACTTATGTCCGTTTTTCTTCTATTTATATTGAGTTTTTATTATACGATACTTCTCTGTATCTAAATTTTAAAAATGTACTTGTAAAGCCCAGATAGCTCTAACTCGGGCCTTTGAATATAATAATATTTATGTAATTGTATTTACAATAAATACTTTATTATTAATATTATTATTATAATTAATTATAATTCATAAAATTATTATAAACGTATTTACCTTGTACATACTTGTATTGATACTTCCGTGAAAAATGAAATGTTTTTATATTTCTGTAGCTGGTCTTACAACCCTTTATAGAGCAATTCACCATTTAAATTTAAAAACAAAACAAGTTTTTATACTCAAATAATAAAAAAATAATTAAAAACAGAACATAAGTATAATTAAAACTAAATAAAATAAACAATTCAACAAAATGTTTGACTGAGTAATGACAATGAGAACAAAATCTCAACTAGACTAAACTTTCTTTAAAACCGGTCCTGTGAAAGTTTTGTTTACCAGTGAGCACTCAAAATTGAGACAAAACACAAACATTGCATGCACTAGACAAAGAGAAAACATCTCCCAGTTCGACCCGCTTTTCATCGTTTTATTTACGTATGGATAAGCAGTCTATTTAAACTATATATGTCATTGGTTTTAATCATCCGCTTCTGCTTCGAAATTGTCGGTTTTCTTGTTTTAATCTGACAGGTTAAAACGACTAAACCGACAATTCCGGAAGCAGAAGCGGATGATTAAAACGCACCTGATATTTTGCTTGCTGCTGTCAGTGTCAGTGAATATTATTTTTGAAGTCACAGTTTATTGCTAAAGAATCAGTTAGCTCACTCGGACCAGTTGAAAGTTCCAAAATAACATCCACTCCAGGGATACAAATTCAGGATACGCAGAAGACTGCTGTTTTATTACAGGCGGTTGTCATATATTGTATTATCCGAGTTGCACAGTGTATAAACTGAAACATTGAGATCAAAAGTGCCGACGCAGAGTGAGCGATCTGATTCTTTAGCTGTAAACTGTGTCACAGGGTTCAAAATGGCCGCGCCCTATGTTGGGCGTGTCGGACCTCTCTCTTGCCTCGTATAGTAATCAAAGTGTGTTCCCCAATGACTAGAACAGAAGTAAAAGTTGGAAATGCTTTTGCCAGTTCTCCCACTTTATACACATAAATTGACAGGTTGGCAGCGGATATCACCGAAGTGGACGGGATACATTGGCGTACAAAATTATTTTATAGATGTTAATAACAATTTCGAGTAAATAGTTTAATAAATTGTGAATAGCTGTTGAAATTTTGTAAAATTATAATTTGAATATTATAATACATGTTTATTAATTATTTATAATCCATAAATACATGCGATTGTCCGGTTCCGCCGATAACAATTTAAAATTACTTATTCTATGAAACGACACTGGCAGGTAAACATTACTGATTACTGTGAAATTCTCGGAGCCGCCCGACGTGGTTTGACGTTTACCCCCTCTCTACCTACCAAAAGACTTTTCAACTTTTAGTTTTATAAGAAACCACATTGACGTAATCATCAGTACAGAATCACTATAGAACGTATATGAGTTTACGTTGCGATTTTGTGTTTTTTATAGAATTTAGAGATTATTTATGCGTTTTTAGAGTGAATGAAGTTACAAAAATATCGAATTAATTAATATTTTGTGTTTTTCAATAGTTTTTAAGTGGATATACTTTCAAAAATATACCTATTGTTTTCAAAATTTAAGTTTTATTTTATTGAACAGTATTTGGATATTATTGCTACTAATTTTTTTTTAAACATATTTAAGTTTTTCCATATGTGACAACTTAGGTAGAATCTATTTAAAAGTTTTAATATATTTTTTAAATATTTAATTACATTTTGTAACAATAAATAGTGGTTAAAAAATTTTATATTTTTAATTACCTATGTTTTATTTTTTTTAAAAAATTTAATTTTTTTAATAACCAATAATATACCATTTTTGTTTAAACTCAGTATTTATTTTTTCATTATAATTGGGTATAGTAAAATAAATAGTGCAAGTAGGTAGGTATATCTCTTTTTTAATTTAATATACAGTGTGTCCAATTAAGTCAGCACCATATGGAAAACTTTTTATTATTAATTTTATGAAAAAAAGTTATTCTTCATAAAAAGTTGTGCATGGTTTAAAAACTAAAACAAAGCGCCCTTTTAAAACTGACTGCACCATAAGATTAACCAATTTTTGACCATGTTTGACCAAACCTTAGATTTTTTTAACACCCCTTTAAATTATTTTAAGGGGTGTTAAAATTATTTATCGCCGTTTATTATAGGCTTTTTCTGGTTATTTTGTACAACCTATTGCAGCTCCGCTATAAATGTTTAGAGGATAAACTAAATATATACATTTTCCTCATACATCTATCTCGAAACATTTTTCTATAGATATTCATTGAAAACGAAAATACTGAAAAATTTAAATTTAGCACTTTATTCTCCAATTTTTCCATTACGGTCAATTTTAGAAAAATCATTTAAAAACAAAAATTATAGAGATCGATATCGCAAACAACTTTTAGTTCAACAATTTTCATAAAAATCAGAATTTTGCACATTTTGTCAAATTTCTCGAATACGGACCTTTTCAGGAAATTTTGACAAAATGTAAAAATTATAGATAATATAAGAAGTAACTTTTATTTGAACAATTTTCTTCTCCAAACGTAAATAACATATATATTTCATAAAATATAAAAATGACATCATCGCGAAAATAGTCAAAACGGATTCAGAGGACCTCAAAACGTAAAAATTCGTCGAAAACTCGAGGTCGAAAAAATCATGATTCCTATACTTTCCTTATATCTGTATACAGATAGGAACGTAAAAAAGGTCAAAGGACATATAAGTTTACCTACGATAAAGATTCATAACGATTAAGAATTATAACGACGTTTGAGCATCCCTTAAAATAATTTTAATGTCCCCAAGTAGTGTGAAAAAGGGTTTATGAAAAATTTGTTGTTTTATTTATTTTTGTTCTTTCATTAACATTGTAAAAACACCACACTAGACACTGCGCCATGTTAATAGTCAATAGACAGAATGAAATATATTT